TGGGACCGAGACGGCTCTGGTCGCCCTAACAGATGATCTCCGCAGGCAGCTGGATCGAGGCGGGTCGGGGCTGCTGATTCTTCTAGACCTGTCAGCAGCCTTCGACATGGTCGATCACGAACTCCTGGACCACCGCCTTGCCGACGTGGGGATCCAGGGCACAGTCCTTCAATGGCTGCGCTCGTTTCTCTCTGGTCGGGGACAGAGGGTGGCGCTTGGGGGGGAATTGTCATCGCGCCACTCCTTGGTGTGTGGAGTGCCTCAGGGTGCGATACTCTCCCCGATGCTTTTAACATCTTTATGCGCCCCTCGCCCAGCTTGTCCGGAGTTTTGGGCTGGGTTGCCATCAGTATGCCGATGACACCCAACTCTATCTGTTGATGGATGGCCATCCTGACTCGGCCCCAGACACACTGACCAGATGTTTGGAAGCTGTGGCTGGATGGTTACGTGGAAGCCGGTTGAAGTTAAATCCTTCGAAGACAGAGGTCCTCTGGCTGGGACGGGACGATATGGGATTGGGGGGGCAACTCCCATCTCTTGCGGGGGTGCAATTAGTGCCAGCACCGTCCGTTAAGAGTTTGGGTGTAATCTTCGATACCCCCTCTCTATGGAGGCGCAGATTACAGCTATAACAAAGGCGGCATTTTTCATCTCCGCCAAGCTAAGCAGTTGGCCCCTTATCTCTCTCGCCCTGACCTAGCCACTGTGATCCACGCGACGGTCACCTCCAGACTGGATTATTGTAACTCGCTCTACGTGGGGCTGCCCTTGAGACTGACCCAGAAACTCCAGCGGGTGCAGAATGCCACGGCGAGACTCCTTATGGGGTCTTCGCTGCGAGATCACATTCATCCGGTACTATACCAGCTGCACTGGCTCCCGGTGGAGTACAGGATCAGGTTTAAGGTGCTGGTTTTAACCTTTAAAGCCCTATACGGCCTAGGACCCTCGTACCTACGGGACCGCCTCTCCTGGTATGCCCCACAGAGGAACCTACGGTCTGCAAATAAAAACATCCTGAAGGTCCCAGGCCTCAGAGAGGTTAGGCTGGCCTCAACTAGAGCCAGGGCTTTCTCGGCTGCGGCTCCAATCTGGTGGAACGCTCTGTCACAAGAGACTAGGGCCCTGCGGGACCTGACATCTTTCCGCAAGGCCTGCAAGACAGAGTTGTTCCACCAGGCCTTTGGTCAGGGCCCAGTCTGACTCCCTCCTCTGGCAACCGGCACAGAACTTTGCTTAACGGTTGCCATTAATTTGATTTTAATTAATTTTTATAATGAAATGTTTTAGAATGTTGGATTATTTGATTGTTGATTATTTGATTGTTGTTAGCCGCCCTGAGCCTGGCTTTGGCTGGGGAGGGCGGGATATAAATAAATTTTATTATTATTATTATTATTATTATTATTATTATTATTATTTGTACCCCACCCATCTGACTGGGTTGCCTCAGCCACTCTTTCAGCCCAACTTTTACACAGAAGCCCATGACTGAGGTTCCATATGATGAGAAGCCTCCAGGTGACTGTAGCAGCTCACAGTTCTCACAATGGCTACAGCTCTCTTTAACCTTTTCTTCCAATCCACTATCATGGCTGCTGCCACCTGTCTGTCTGTCTGTCTGTTTACCTCCTACAGTGTCAGGCTTCTTGGAGCAGCAGAGAGGGTGAAAGAAATTGTTGCTCATCACAACTTCCTTGTCCCTCTCTGCTGCTCTGAATCTAAGAAGAGGCTGGGCATTTCAGGAGCGAGTGGTCAACTCTGGGACAGTGACACAAGGGGGCTCTCCACCTCTACCTGCTGCTGCAGTTGTCAAAACTTGCTAGCTGCTACAGTCACCAAAGGCTTCTGGAGAGAAGCCTTGTTCACTGGCTCCTGTGTAAAATGAGTCATAGAGGATGCTAAAGAGAGAATTTTTTTGAGGAGCCAGAGGATAGCAATGCTGATGAACTTCAAAACTTAAAGGCTCATAATCTGAACTTGCAAGCTCATAAAATTTTTATTACAAGGCATGCCACTTTTGCCCTTAAACTCTTGATCTGTTCATAATTAGAACGCGGATATATCACGAGCTTATGTGCCTATTTGACATCCGCATAGCCTGTTCCATATTCATGAGATGAGGTGCTCAGAAGACAATAGCTGCTGTTGGCACATGCTGAGAAGTTGGTTACTTTAACTCCTTACTCTCATGTGAAATCTAAGTGCCCTTGATCACGGAAACTGACCTGAATTTTTTTTTCTAAAAGGTAATTTACAGAATTACCTTGGCTCTTGTGCAGTCAAATGGTTTGGCAATGCCACACACTACTCTGTGTTTGGTTAGAGTGGGATGGATCAATGCCATCTCTTACATGAACTTAACTACTGGGAGTGTTCCTCTGAGGTCATCAAGAAGGCCTCTGTATTTGCTTTATGGCTTGTTGATTTGCTTGTATGAAAGAAAACCTCTTGGACCACGTGCAGTTTGAGGTGCACTGACCTCCCAGCTCAGGCACAAAATATGTGTGTGTCAATTTACAATCCTCAAAAGTTTTTTGTTTTTTTTTAGAAGAGCGTTCACTGCAACACAGTTTGCAACACAGTTTGAGCTGTGGGGAAATTTGCACATCACCGCATTTCGGTAATGCTTGAACTTGTGTGTCAGCCAAGACCTCTCCTCCAAAACTCCTGCTACCTCTGCCTCCCAAGCTGAGTTCATGGGCTAATGTCTTGATTGATGATTCCAGATGAAGGAGACAAATGCAAGGATTATTGTTCTCCATTTGAGAGAATCAAACATGGGAGTGACTCTGATCACTACTCATTGTACTTAGCTACAGAGATGATTAAGTGCAGTGTTGTAGTGGGAAGTGAGAGAAGTGATGGAACTTGCATCGTCTTGCAATTAGAGAAAAGAGGTTTTTAAGTTATTTTTGTTTTTTATTTCGGTTATTTATATACAGCTTTTCAGCAAACACACACACACAAGTTCTGAAAGCACTTTAACTCAGTAAATTTGAGCGACAATTTAAAATGCCCTAAAATGTAATTAGAATCAGTGTACTATAATAATAATAATTTATTATTTATACCCCACCCATCTGGCTGAGTTTCCCCAGCCACTCTGGGTGGCTTCCAACAAAAGATTAAAAATACATTAAAACATCAGTCATTAAAAACTTCCCTAAACAGGGCCACTCTATAGTGGTTAGAGTGTCAGACTTGAACCCTGGAGACCAGGGGTCAAATCCCAATTCAGCTATGAAGTTCACTGGGTGACTTTGGGCCAGTCCCAGCCTCCCAGCCTAACCTGCATCACAGGGTTGTTGTGGGGGGTTAAATCAGGAGGGGGAGAGCCATATATGCCACCTTGAGCCCCTTGAGGGAAAAAAAGGTAAGATATAAATGAAACAAAGTTTTCATGGCAGTTTATTTTCTGTTCTCGTGAAGACTTGTGGCTACACCACCCTAAACACGTCTGTTCGTGTCTGATCTCAGAAAATGAGCAGGGAGAGGCCTTGTTAGTCCTTGGACTACCAGGTGCCAGAGGACACCTTGAAGGAAAGACACATTAGGGTTTGAACAGAGTTGTGAAATGAGGGTCCTTCTGGCATTATGGTAGAGACTGCAGGTGAATTACTGTTTCTGCTACAACTGCCCCCACGTTCTCTGCTACTTAAAGGTAAAGGGACCCCTGACCATTAGGTCCAGTCGTGACCGACTCTGCGGTTGCGGTGCTCATCTCACTTTATTGGCTGAGGGAGCTGGCGTTTGTCCGCAGACAGCTTCCGGGTCATGTGGCCAGCATGACTAAGCCGCTTCTGGTGAACCAGAGGAGTGCACGGAAACGCCGTTTACCTTCCCGCCAGAGCGGTATCTATTTATCTACTTGCACTTTGTGCTTTTGAACTGCTAGGTTGGCAGGAGCAGGGACCGAGCAACGGGAGCTCACCCCGTCGCAGGGATTCGAACCGCCGACCTTCCGATCGGCAAGTCCTAGGCTCTGTGGTTTAACCCACAGCACCACCAGCGTCCCTTTCTCTGCTACTTACAAGCACTTTATTTACCTGCTGCAAACATAGTTTGAAGCAGTTATTCAGGCACTGAGGAATATCTTATATAACATGTGTCAAACTGACAAATGAAACTCCTCATTGTTAGGTGAAGAACAAATGTGGTGAACTGGAATATCCTATTAAATGACACTGAATCTACAGAATTCTTTCAAGTGCTGTCGCTCATCACCAAGAAAATACATAGTTCACCATAGTTCATCGGATATGCTTTCCTGCTGTTTCCTTTCCCATCTTCCTGTGAATTCATGGACATCAACATCCAAAGTAGTGGAGGATTCCTTTTCTCAGTCTTCGCCACATTACCTTCATGCTTTGGGGCTTCTCAAATTTCTCTTCCTGTGCTTCACACTCTACATTTTCTGATTACACTATGGATGACTACCCATAATTCTCACTGTTCTGCCCATTACCTCTTTCAGAGGAGGGAGAAAAGGAAAATGTTCTTTGAATTGCATAGCGGAAGCAGATACTCTCATTATGGATCACGCTCAGCTCTCTGTTTCTCTGTTTTTACCATTTTCAAATATCTCCCACATCTCTATACCCACCTGAATCTGAGGTTAACTTCTGAATATGCTATAGTCTCAAGACAACAAGACAAGTCTCTTCGCGTTGCATCTCCCAATTGCCATCACAGATGTGTTTCTTCACCCTCCTCCTCTGATGCAATTGTGCTGGGTGGTGGAGATAGACATGAGCAAGGCTGTGGTAGATGTGGGATGTGAAACACAGGAGCAGTCAATTACAACATTCCTAGAGTGTACATGTTTAGACATAGGGAGGGATGTTTGTCCAGCCAGCAGGTAAACTTCCTGTTTCCCTCTGAGCTGGGACAGACTTCCTCCGCATGTGACTAGAGGTGGGTGTGGCCTCACCTGTGCAGGTAATGATAAAAGCACAGAGCAGGGGCAGCCATCTCTTTCTTGCCTCTCTTCCATCGAACAAGCAACATCTACTAAGCTAAAGGTGCCCTCTTGGCTCCCAGCCAAGAGAGGAGAAAGGGACTATCTTCTTATAAGATAGAATCCAAATGTATATTACTTCACTAAGCTTTAAGTCTGCCTTCTGGGATCTAATTGTGAACAGAATGTAAGTAAACTCTTTTTATACTTTTGTAAAAGACTGTGTCGTGTCTTCTATTTTAAGTGGGAATAAAGGGGAAATTACCAGTATAGTTATTATAAAGGTTCTAGCGAACCTGAGCAAATGCTGCTGTTGCAAACTTAAAATAAAGCGGAATGTTTTACTCTGCTGATATTGGGAACTTGTTAGCACAAGTTGGATAAGGATATAATCAGTCAATATATCCTCTCCTGCATCCCTGAACATTCCCACAGTAGAGACCAAACTGGGAACAAATAGCTGTTCTGTGTTTCTTATGGATTCAGCTGTGGCCCAAAGAGATGGTCTGATATAAATCTAGGAGCACAGGAATCGGCCAGGTACTGACTCAGACCATTGGGTCCTTTGTAACTCAACTGCCTGTACTGTCTATGACTTTGCAGGGCTTCAGATGGGGACACTGGAAAGGTTAGAGAGCAATCCTAGGACCTTCTGCATTCAGTGTATGTACCATTCCACTGAGCTATGGGCTTTCCCTAAAGGCAAGGATGGCGCACAAAGCACGGCTGGCCATCAGCCATGGCTTGGGGAAGGAGATGGGTTATGGCAAGGGGATTTCACGAGGGCCATCTACAGGGGCTTGGACACATTTGCCCCACTGGTCTGTTCTGTTCAAGCACCCTACAGGGGCCACTAGATGCTAATAGTAATCCCAGCAGCAGGACATAACAGCAACAGATGTCTACCTGGCAGCCAGTCCCACTGGTGTATACAGGCCAAGGACAGAGGCTAACAATAGAAGTCCAACAGTTCAGGAAACACGGTCCAGGTTCAATACAGCAAGCCAAGTCCAACTTCCAACAGTCAGGCCAGGTTCCCACCTCTGTAGCCAATTCAGGATCAGGGAACCTGGGGTTCAGTCCCCAAAAGCAGGCTTGTGGAGCTCCTAGGGCACCCAAGCTGTGGTCCATCAACATGGGAAGTTGAGCAGACACAGCACCTCAGCTCTGCTTCCTTTTTATCCCTTGAATCTTGATTGCAGCACCTGGGTTTGAAGGGGCATGTGACCCCCACCTGTCCGGAGCCTAATGCAGCTGAGGAATCCCACACCTCCTCCCAGAGCTAATAAGCCCCAACTGGCCAACTAGTGAGCTAGGCTGCGGGTTCTTGCCTGTCTCAGCCTCCTAGAATGCACCTTCCGTTGCCCCTGATGCCTCAGAGCCCACCATGCTTATGAAGACAGGGCCTCCTCTGGCTCCTGAAGGAATGTCTCCACCCCCATCGTTCTGCCTGGACACTGAGGTCCAGTGCTGAGGGCCTTCTGGTGGTTCCCTCACTGCGAGAAGCAAAGCTACAGGGAACCAGGCAGAGGGCCTTCTCAGTAGTGGTGCCCGCCCTGTGGAATGCCCTCCCATCAGATGTCAAAGAAATAAACAACTATCTGACATTTAGAAGATATCTAAAGGCAGCCCTGTTTAGGGAAGTTTTAATGTCTGATGTTTTAATATATTTTTAATCTTTTGTTGGGCGGGGTATAAATAATAAATAATAATTATTATTATTATTATTATTATTATTATTATTATTATTATTATGGTCTTGCCCCTCTGTTTCCTGTGCACTGACTCCCCCCCTCCCCTCACCATCCCCTCACTGAGTTAGACCTACTGACCTGGTGTAATTCTTATAGGAAACCAGTATCTGACTTAAATCCAAATTCTCCAAAGTAATGAAGACTGATGTTTTGTTTAGTGCTGTCCAACAGTGACTTTTCTTGCACTTTAGCAGAAAACTGGCTTGTGTCCCAAAGGATCCACGAGCCAAGACGTACATTTCTGTCTCTTATTCAGAAAGTCCTGGTTCTTGAACATTAGATATGTGGTTCTCTGGTTGACATTTCTTCCATAGTCCCACACTTCTGACTCAACTCAGGAAATCTACTGTATTTCATGTCATGCTTTGATTAATAACGGGTGAATTCGCCTTGACTGAGTCAATTCAGAATTGACTCAGTATTTATTTATAAGCTTTCTTGGAACAACTCCCCTGTTTCTGACTGGGTTGACATGCCTACTCAAAAGCAAGGTCCACTGAGCTGAATGGGATTTACTTCCGGGTAATATAGAATTGCAGCCTTAGCGTTCTCTCCTGGCTTGCAGTGTTGACACAGGTGTGCTCATAGGATGAAGAAAGGCTGCAGCATTTGGGACTTTTTAGTTCAGAGAAAAGGCGAGTGAGAGGGGACACAATACAGTGGTACCTTGATTTTCGAACATAATCCATTTTGGAAGACTGTTCAAGTCCCAAAACGTTCAAAAACTGAAAATTCAATACGGAAAATTCAATACCGAAGCCATGTTTCCGGTTTGACTTTCGAGGCGCGTTCGAAAACTGAAGCATTTACTTCCGGGTTCGAAAACCAAAATGTCCGTCAACAGAGATGTTCGAAAAGCGAGGGATCACTGTAGAAGTTTATAAAATTATGCATGGCATTGAGAAGGTGGATAGTAATTTTCTCTCTCTTAACTCACAGACATCCAATGAAGCTGAATGTTGGAAGATTTAGGACAGATAAAAGAAAGTACTTCTTCACGCAATGCATAGTTAAACTCTGGAATTCACTCTTCCTGGAGGCAGTGATGGCCCCCAACTTGGATGGCTTTAAAAGAGGATTGGATTGGACAAATTCATGGAAGAGGGGGCTATTGAGGGCTACTAGCCATGACACGGGCGGCGCTGTGGGTTAAACCACAGAGCCTAGGACTTGCCGATCAGAAGGTCAGCAGTTCGAATCCCCGCAATGGGGTGAGCTCCCGTTTTTCGGTCCCTGCTCCTGCCAACCTAGCAGTTCGAAAGCCCCTCAAAGTGCAAGTAGATAAATAGGTACCACTCTGGCGGGAAGGTAAACGGCGTTTCCGTGTGCTGCTCTGGTTCGCCAGAAGCGGCTTAGTCATGCTGGCCACATGACCCGGAAGCTGTATGCTGGCTCCCTCGGCCAATAAAGCGAGATGAGCGCCACAACCCCAGAGTCATCTGCGACTGGACCTAATGGTCAGGGGTCCCTTTACCTTTTAGCCATGACGTTGATGCTCTTACCTCCACAGTTGGAGGGAGCAATTCCTCCAAGTACCAGTTGCTGGAAACAACTGGAGGGGATAGTGCTCATGTACTCATTTTCTGCTCCCTGGTTTCTCACAGGCCTCTGGTTGCCCAGTGTGAGAACAGGATACTGGACTATTCTTAGGTTTTAAAGGGGGTGGTGGTGGTGGGAGTGCAAATACAGGGGCTGATGTTAAGCCAGTACAGAATAGAGAGCAGTGTGAACAGTAACTAAAATGCTAGTTAATGAAACAATGGTAAACCTGCTAAAATACGTTGTGTAAACATGGGAGGCTACGCTGTGAAAAATCGAACATTCCTTGGCTCCTGCAACGCTGGATCTCTGATCAGAAAACCAAGGGTGCCAATGAGTCCAAGGCATGCGTTGAACATTTATTTCCTTATAACCATAGGAACCGAGGTCCATCTAACAGGCCTGCCATTCCGATGCACTTTAAAAATCATTAACAAAAGGAACTGATACTGAGCCAGTTCTTTTCCCAAGTGTAGACTTTAGCCCAACCAAGTACAGCCAATTCTTTACTGGAAGCTAACTCGGCTATCTGTGAGATCAAAGGAAAGAATTTTTATTATGTCACAAGATTCATCTGCTGAAGTCCAGTAACTGCTAAGAAATCTTGCATCTTAGCAAGATGTCTGATGAAGTGGGCTGTCCCCTACAAAAGCTCATGCCACAAAGAGCCGGCTAGGGACATTGTCACAAACGAGAGTAAAAGAAACTCTTCAATGCAACTGTAAAAGTGTAAAAAAGAATTGCCCAGAATTCATATTTGCTATACAAGCACTCCATACCTTCCCTTCAGCATAAAGAATGCTCATGGCCAAACAATCATATAAATAGTGCGAGAAAAGATCAAAGGGGATTTGATGGATCATGTGTGAAAACAGGCTGCAGTCCTGAACACACTAGGAGGTTAAGGGGTGATATGATAGCCATGTTCAAATATATAAAAGGATGTCACATAGAGGAGGGAGAAAGGTTGTTTTCTGCTGCTCCAGAGAAGCGGACACGGAGCAATGGATCCAAACTACAAGAAAGAAGATTCCACCTAAACATTAGGAAGAACTTCCTGACAGTAAGAGCTGTTCGACAGTGGAATTTGCTGCCAAGGAGTGTGGTGGAGTCTCCTTCTTTGGAGGTCTTTAAGCAGAGGCTTGACAACCATATGTCAGGAGTGCTCTGATGGTGTTCCTGCTTGGCAGGGGGTTGGACTCGATGGCCCTTGTGGTCTCTTCCAACTCTATGATTCTATGATTCTATGATTCTATGATTCTATGAACTAGGAGGTAGTGATGGAAGAGAAATTTGATTCAGGTTGATTTTAACACAAAACGACCCAGCTCTCCAAAACATTATGCAAATCAAAACACAGCTAATCTTCAAAATACGCACTTCTTTGAATTTTATGATATGGTTTGTCAATCAAATAATATGTACAATAATGTATTTGTTATGGGGAAATATATTGTTATGAGTTTGTGGGTGCTTGACCTCTGCTAAATTCAAGTTACCAATAGGTGCTAGAACTTAATTGAGGTTTGTGTGTTAAAACTGTGTGTCAGGCTCTTACGCCTTAGAATCTAATCTAGACCTGTGTGCATTTAAGCCTGTATATTAGATGTTTCTAAATCCTCTGGAATTAGAATGTGTTAAGAATTGATTAAGCCAAGCTGGTGTGTCCTGTGATATAAGAGCTAATTAACGCAAACTAATTTCCTTAGGACGGGATGCGGGTGGCGCTCCAGGCACCTTCTAAGGGGAACTGTTTCCAAAAGAATTTGGAGGAGGGTAAGGCATAAAATGGGGCACGTGTGGCGCTGTGGGTTAAACCACAGAGCCTAGGGCTTGCCGATCAGGAGGTTGGCAGTTTGAATCCCTGCGACGGGGTGAGCTCCAATTGCTTGGTCCCAGCTCCTGCCCACCTAGCAGTTCGAAAGCACGTCAAAGTGCAAGTAGATAAATAGGTACCGCTCCAGTGGGAAGGTAAACGGCGTTTCCGTGTGCTGCTCTGGTTTTGCCAGAAGCAGCTTAGTCATGCTGGCCACATGACCCGGAAAAACTGTCTGCAGACAAACGTCGGCTCCCTCGGCCAGTAAAGCGAGATGAGCACTGCAACCCCAGTGTCATTCACGACTGGACTTAACTGTCAGGGGTCCTTTACCTTTACATTTTTACATTTACGTTTTTAATTTCCTTGGAGGTGATAGCCTTGGCAAAAGATCAAAAGAATGGCTCCTCTCCCTGTGTTAGAATAGGCCAGAGTTTATGGACTTTAGGAGTTAAGCAATGGAGTCAGTAAGCAGTGGGCTATAGAGAGAGTCAGAGAGCAACGTTTGGAATCTGTTAAAACCCCAGCCTATGGAAAAAGCCGGAGCCTCTTGGAGTGTAATGCTGTACAACCCTACACTGTATGCTCAGGTCTTATATATGTGTAGATGAACCATATGCCTCAAAGATACCACAGTCTCTACGGTGCCTCATTTATCCAAAAGGAAAAACAGACCCTTGGTAACAACACCTGGAATCTTGCACTGCTGTAGAGATTGGGGTGACATGTAACAATATTATGTGGGAAATTGCTTGCAAAATGTGTTTATCAGGCAAAACTGCATTAAAAAATGTGGCACATTAGGAGAAGGTTGCGCTAAAATGCTGACAAAATTGCAGAGAACCAAAGTGAAGAATGAAAAAGAAGAGAAACTGCAATTGACAGATTCATCAATCCCTACCAGGATTGAACACAGTGCGAATTACATAGAAGACATGCATAAGATTACATAGTTTGATTACTGTTTAATGGCAATTTCCAGAGGTGTACTCATAAACATTTTATGGCATAAGCTTTCGTGGACTATAGCCCATTTCATTGGAGGCATGAAGCGTTTTCCTCAGTTGCAAATAACACTTAGTACATTTGCTGAAGCAAACTGTAGTCCATGAAAGTTTACACCATAAAAAAATCGTTACTCTCACAGGTGCCACAAAACTATGTTATTTTAATTAATGGCAGAATCTTCTGTGTCGAAGCAACTGTTCATAGGGCCAGCACTAACATCTCAACATTACTCTGCCTTCTCCTGGCCACTAAACTCCCATTCCTTTGTTGAAAAATCATTGTGGATTTGTCATTGGGACTTGTCATTCTTGGTATGCATTTGCCCCTGCCCTCCAAAAGAGAGCAAACAAACAAACATTATTTCAGAATGCAGCTTTAAAGAAGAAAACTGGAATAACTTTACCTCTGGGCATTTTCAGAGCTCAGAGTGTGTTCTCCCAATTTCATGACAGAACAAGTAGACAAACATGAGATTTGGAGCACTTTCTGGATTAGCCCCTGCGGTTGTTTTTCCTCCCAAATAATTTAAAAAGGCCAGGTTAGGCACACTTGTTTAAGCATGTGACTAACACCGTATGCAGTTTGGCTATGAGGCTCACTCAGAAGTTCATCTTGGCACCTTGGGCTGGGAGGAGACCCTGTTGGTCCTTGACATCCCATGAAATGTGAAATGGAAAGGAAGGGATACCGGTCACATCAAGGGAAGGCCCTTAGCTCAGTGGTAAAGCATTTCCCAGCTTTTTCAGGTAGAGCTAGGAGTGTCCCCTGCCTGACACCCCTGGAGAGCCACTGCCAGTTAGTGTGGACAACATGGCGCTAGTTGGACCAGTGATAGAAGGCAGCTTCCTATGACCCTGTGTTCACCATCCATTATGGCTGTGAAATGTCCTACGATGCATATAGGATATGGGATTGAGCAATCAAGGTTAGCTAAACCGGTTTCTCTCTCCTTCATCAAAGGACTCAGCATTTTCCTCCCCAGAAAGATTTCCTGTTTCCAAATATCATGTGTCAATAACATTTATACTTTCATGCCCTATTGCATCAATGTGAGTTATGGAGCAAAGTGGAGTGGCATTTGTTTTTAAATCCTTCCAAACCATTGTACCACACACTTTCCCTTCTTTCCATTAAGTGGACATTCAAAAACTGAGAAATGAATCCCAATCTGACAGGTGGATTGGTTCCTCTGATATATTTTGGATTTTCAAAATGTGAGTCTCTTTGATCAGAAAATTGGAAGCATCGAGTTTGAGGTAACAGATATTATGCTACAGAGATGCAATCCTAGCAAATGGACTCTTCCTCTTATAGGGAGATGGCAATTGGGGAAACTCCTGTATAATTTATTTTGAAGACTGAGGAGAATATGAGTATTACTATTTGTACCCCACCTTTATTTCAAAATAGCTCAGAGGAGCAGTTTATCACAATCCCTCTGTGAGATAGTAAGGTTAGGCTGAGAGACAGCAAGTTGCTCAAAGTCACTCAGTTGAATATCATGACTGATACCCCCCCCATTTGGTTTTCTTTCTGCTGAAACAAGAGATGGGTGGAAAATACAGTTTGGTGCTCATTTCAACATGAACCTATGTAATCTTTTATTTCTTCAACCTTGAAAATTTATTAAAAATCAAAGAACCCAAAACTTCTCTCTCTCTCTCTCTCTCTCTCTCTCTCTCTCTCTCTCTCCCACCCACCGACCTTCTCACATTCTATCCACACA